TATATATATATATAATTAATAAAATTCTTAATATAATAATATTAATAATTGTGTGTGTGTGTGTGTGTGCGTGTATATAGATATATATATATATTAATAATATTAACATAATAATCAATAATAATACAACAAATAAAATAATAATTCAAAACAATGCAAATTAAGGGAACAAGTTCTCAGTGCGCAAGGTCTGGAAAAAACTAATAATAAATAAATAAATATAAAGAAAATAATAATACATTTGCAACTATATTGATTAAAATAAATAGTACAGTATTTGCTATTAAGGCAGTGACCTGGAAGTTTGTTCAGAATGCATATAATGCACATGGAAACAAATACAGTATGTGAGTCTGTTTGCAGCGTTAGTGTTCATCTAAACAGAGCTTTCAGAATCTGACATCAGACTGGACTCATTTCACTGATGACAATGAGTGCATGTAAACATGCCTACAGTCTGTCAATCACTCATCTCTCAGCATACTACAACAGCACGCTGAGATGTGTGTGAAGAGCGTGAGATCAGCGAGTGAACACGATGGCTCGCGGCTGTCTGACAGGTGAGAGCAGCAGATGGTGCGCCCGGCGTGTTTGGGTCAGAGAGAGAGACTGAGAGCCGTGAACACAGAGACCATCTGTCTACGACCAGCACCGCTCATGAGTTATGACCGGAGGAGATATTAATAGATAAACTCACCATATGTCACATCACCACACTTTCTGTCAGCGCTGAACGCAAACCTGTTACTATTCTTACCACTTTAACACGGCAGACTGTACAGTACTACAGCCTACTCACCTAGGCTACACTTATTTGATCTAAAATACAGTAAAAATTTGAAATATTTTTAGAATTTCAAACAGCTGTTGTCTATGTGAATATCTGTTAAACTGTAATGTATTTCTGTGATGCGCAGCTGAATTTTCAGCATCATTCCTCCAGTCTTCAGTGTCACATGATCTTCAGAAATCATTCTAATATGCTGATCTGCTGCTCAAGAAACATTTCTGATTATTATCAGTGATGAAAACAGTCGTGCTGCACAATATTTTTGTGGAAACTGATATATTTGATTTTCCAAGATTCACAGATGAATAGAAAGTTCAAAAGAACAGCATTTATTTGAAATAGAAATTTTTGTAACATTAGAAATGTCTGTACTGTCACTTTTGATCAATTTTATGCATCCTTGATTAATAAAAGTATTAATTCCTTTAAAATACAATACATCTTATTGACCAAAACCTTTATCTTTAGACAAATTTACTATATATATATACACTATACTAAACTAAATACTGTGTGTGTGTGTGTGTGTGTGTATACATATAAATATTTTAAAATATATTTGTTTACTCCATATTGTTTTAAACAAAACATTTTAACATTTTTGTTAGATTAATGAGAAAGAAAAAAAAGAAAAAAATTATATTGTCTGAAAACAATCTATTTTGTGAACGCAACGAATGCAATTTTGCATTAGTTGCTTTAGTTGCTTTTGCTTTTGTGTGTGTGTTTTAAGGACTTTTAGATATTTTCACTGAAAATCAACAAACAAGAATACATAAAACACTGCAGTGTGGCTATTATTAAAAAACAATATGTGAAACTTTAGAGAAACGATAAACATTTCAAAAGGTAAAATGCAACATTATATGTCACATAAGCTCTGTATGTTATGAGTGCATGATTGCATTATGGGATACACTATTATTGCACATTAGCATACAGAAAATCACTGCACACTGTGTTTTGT